CCGTGTGGTCAGTTCCTGTGCGGTATGCAGCAGGGCATCGGTTACAAGGGTCAAGCTAACTTTCTTTTACTTCAGTCTCCTTACCTCGATGTTCCCTCAAGTTTTGTTGAACTTTTTCTCCTTCTCCTTCAATCTCTTCTTCTCGTCAAACTCCTTCCTCTTCTGGGTTAGCAGTTGCTGGTGAAGGACACTGTTCCCTTATGTTCCTTTCTGCAATCAACAGATCCATTTCTTCAACATCAGCGGCTTCCTCCAACCTTGCTGCAAACTCCTCCCTCTCCTTCTCTAACTCTTCCGGCATCTCACTGCAGAACCGGAATTGTTTCAACTAACTGGCAAGACTGCTCTCTGTACCGCCCCCGTTTCCTCTCCTTCCCTTGCTCTTCCTCCTCACCTTTTCACCAGACTTTCCTCTTTTTCCTCTTCTTCCTCTACTTCGTCTCTTGTGTTTGTTTCCTCCACCAATTTCTTCTTCACCTCTTCCTCCCATTGTTCCATTTCCTTCTTTTTCTTCCTCTTTTCTTCTTCCATTTTATTTTTAATTCCTCCTCCTTTTGCGTCTTCTTCGCCTCCTTCTCCTTTATCTTTTCTGCCAACCTGGCATCGATCTCTGCCTATTCCTCTTTGGAATATAGCTGGGTGGATGTCCCGGGTCTGCTAACTAGGTGCATCCCAAAGGTCCGGGCGAAACGCAATGGGAAAAGGAAGCGAAGAAGCGGCCCCAATATCACGGACAGGGCCAGGAAGCCAAACATTGGGTAATCATCCATGGCAAGGGTCAGCACAGGCAAGTTGACTCCGCCTCCTCACCACGTAGACTTATTCCTCAACACTTAACATACTCTAACCTAGATCGGGGTTTGTCGTCACTACAGCTCTCCTAACAACTGGTGGCCAACCAGCAATTTAAGGTCCGCCGGCAAGGACCTCAGGAATGATTTAACAACGCAATCAGGACGTCGTGGCCACCAATCTGAAGGATTGCCCTCAACACATACAAATTCCTCACTGGTCGTCACAAGATTTCGGGTATAACTACCACCAGGTAAGTTGCCAGCAGGTCTGTACCCGTCCTTGGGATCTCCCTGGCTTCCACACCCTGGTGGACCTTACGTCTCACCGCTACTTTGCCCGTGCGTTATCCAGCTGTCGAATCTCTACTCAACCTACAACTCCTCGCTGCGTCAGCTCCGGTTCGGTAGCATGCCGGTCAGTACCTGTCTTAAGTCTAGACAGGTTGTCTCATGAGTGCCTGCCACTCATGCCTATGCCCCCTACTAGGGGTGATTCATCCAGCGGCCGAGCTGCTATCAAGTCTAGAACTCCTCAGTGCATCCCGTTGACTTTCAGTCGCTCGCCGATCAAGTACCTGTCTTAGGGCTAAGCGGGTTGTTTATTGAGCGCCCGTCGCTCTGCCTGTGCTTCTTACTTTGTCTAGGGATACATCCAGCTGGCGAGTTCCTACCGTAGACCTAGACTAATCATACATTCAACGACAATTGCAGACTTCGACAACAACAATTCAAATGCGACCAAATGATGTCAACACATGACCTGATTGCAGCAGAGGTCTCTAGGAAAGTTCATGGGAACGACCAACACAACAAAACGAATTGCATAAAAGACAAGGGCTGGGGCAAGAACCGCTTCTCCAGGTCTTCAACTGCTCCTTCGGTGATGCTCCTCGCTTGCAGGTACGTGCTCCTCTTGCTCCTTGCTATGCCTCTTCTTCTTCGGCCCTCCTCCAGTCACACCCTAATGTATGTGTACATATACATATTTTTGTCACCCGCCGGCCTTCTTCCTTGCCAGCGCCTCCACTCCAAGTGGGTGCAGCGGGAACCAGCTCGGATACCAATGAAATGAGCCAAGTTCTCATCAACACTCAACCTCGCAAGTATGCAAAGAACATTCACACGAGAGCTCACTCATGAGAAGCCAAAGCCAAGTAACAATCAATGCATGAGAAAACCGTCACCGAATTATCAATGTTATACAAGCAATTGTTTATGTCACCAGCGGGCTCTGCCGCTCACTCCACTATGGCACTTCTCTCTCTATGACTTGGCCAACTCAGCGTCTCTCTCTCTCTCTCTCTCTCTCTCTCTCTCTCTCTCTCTCTCTCTCTCT